AACAAATATTATATTAATTTAGCTTAGGGGGAAAAAAGGCCAAAATCCTTTTCCTTCTAAGACAGAGTTACTAAGTTTTAAATAATTCGATGAAGAGAAAATTTAAGAGAATTTTCTTGATACAATCTAGATCCTTAGGGTTTCCAATGTGTACTTGATATTCTATCTTCATAGTTATCTTTGTTGGCTTTTTAATGCATCATGAATATTACCTTTTAGTTTAGTCATAGCAGTAGAATTGTAGCCCTTGTAAATTAGGGCTACTGAAGAAAATATTTTTTAAAAATTCATATCATGGGATTCAACTATAAAACTGATTATTTCAACAGTATGATGTAGACCCTGTATTCTAAAGGAGAAGACTGTCTTGGCTTAATAATGATAAATTTTGTGTAAGGATAGCTATGCTGCAGTTCGTCACCTGGATGTGAGGATTGATTGACTAAACCCAGTGCAATCTGGAGAGTCACTGCAACATGCCTGTTCAGTTTGTTACGTTTTATGTGACAGGAGCTCAGGGTCATTACAAAGAAGCCTTATATAATTACTAGAGGCCCTTGATTATAAATTTATATAAGTTGAGAATAATTTAATTTTAGGAAGTGTTATGTGTAGGTTGCATTGACATGAACTTTTTTGTGAGATTATGCTTCTTAATAAACTTGGAAGTTGCTTCCTATATGACCTTTGTGCAAAAACGAGCAAGTCAAACAAACATCGCTAAAAGTTACTAGATCTGTGGTATTGCGGTTAAAGGAAATGGTTATGATGGTTTCCAGAAGAGGAAGTGAGAGTAACATCAAAAGTGATTTGGGTATTGGGCAAAATACCGTTTTTCAGGCATTCATTAAACATTTTTTATGGCATGAATACAATCAGACATTACATATTTTACCTTCATAATGAAATAAGATTAGACTAAATTCTAAGTTTTTGAACTCTTATAATTTCAGTTCACTGCCATTTCTCAGAAGCATATTTTTTCATTTCCTGTTTTGAGAATCTTCAGGCTCTTGTGTTATTTAACTAGTAAAATTTAAAATGAGGTGAATATGATTATATCCAAGTGTCTAATATTTTGATTTATTGAAATGTTTTATTTCAGCACTTAATATGTTTATAATTTGTTGAGAAATATTTTTCTATCCTGCCTAATTGTAGATTCTCTATGGGTGAGGAGGGTGTTACACATTTTTGAATTACTGGTCCTTAGGGCCTTAGCTGGTCCATGAGGCCTTCGGTTAGGACTTGTTGATGGATGAATACTTTATGTATATTATATATTTATACAACATATATATGAATGTGTGTATAATCTTGCTCTAGTTTTAGTAGTAGTAGCTTTTGGTCTGCTCTCCTTGTGTGATTTTGCATACAAATACATCAGATGGGTTTTGAATCTTTCAGTCCATATAAAGTTGTCTATAAAGGCTGGCTTTTCTTCTGGGTATCTAGGATTGAACATTTTTCCAAAAATCTTGCCAAAAAAGTAAGATTTGTTTACCATGGGTTTATAAGGTTCCTGCTGTCTACATTTTTATGACAGTATAAGCCAAATAATCTTTTCATTCTCAATGTTTTATAGTCCTCAGAAAAACCTTCTACCACATAATACATGTTTGCCAGTCAGTTATCACATTTTTATTAATGCATGTGTGCATTAGACTGTCTATCAGATCTGATTACTCTGCTCTGTTTCAATTGGAAGTCTTCAATGGAAATATTTTAGTGACCATACACAATGAAAAATACTTCAGTGGCCTAAGTAAAATAAATTCTTAAGTTCCTATAATCAAGAATGGCTTTACTGCTTATTATAGGAATATAACTTGGTTCCTGAAAAATGTTTTGCTTTTTTACAGAAAATTTCATCAATTGAGAAATTTTTGAGTTCTTAATATGTACATTATGAACATTTTAAGGAATTTATGTTCAAATCAGGGATGTAAGAACACATAAGGGAGAATTTTAGGGAAAAGAGGTGAAGATGATGGTAGGTAGTTTTACATTTAAATTTATTTGTTTCATAATTCTGTAAAGACCATTTTTAAAATTAAAAATATGTTCCCTTTTCCAGATCTAATAATGTTACTCACTTATATAGTGAATTTTTAACATTTTCAGGCTACTTTTATATCTGTTACTGTAGTATTGGCAGGCAATGTGGTGGTGGAAGTAGAATACTGAGCCAGAAGTTAGGAGACCTGCCTTCCAATCTTCAGTCTGTCACTGAGAGTGCTGTAATATTGGGTAGATGTCTTAACTTCCCTGAGCTTCATTTTCACTCATCTGTAAAATGGAGGAAAATTAACTGAAAGGAACACTAAAGTCTGTTCCAGCTCTGATATGTTATCTTCATAAGTAGGAGTTAAGGCCCATTTTTTTTTCCTTTTGTTAGGTAGAATTATTACAGTTCAACTGCACATACACATTATATTGCATGTAAATACATTAATACAGTATACTGTACTTTTTTTTAGTTTATGTGTATGTACTAATCATCGTTTCTAAGAACAGATTAGAGCTTTAGCTTTTTAAACTTACATAGTTATCAAAGGAATAAAGCCAACTACAAAATAAGAATCAACAGGATATGGTAATCCAATCATAGAGGCAGTCAAATGTGCTTACACATATTCAAGAAATCGATCAACTTAGTTATAAATAATAAGTAGTTCATTTGTGTCATTATTATTGTTATAATTTTTTAGATTCTTCATATATAAATGATGTCATATGGCATTTTTTTCTTTCCAGTAAGGCCCATTTTAAACAGTAACTGACCTCAAACTGAAAAGAACTTAAACTAATTTTCCATAATATAGGGGTGATAATGCCTACTCTGCTTACTTCACAGGATTGTTTGTTAAGGTAAAAGATTATAATGTGAAAGTAGTTTAGAACTTTTATGAATGTAAGATAGTATTTGTTTAGGTATCTCAGTGACTTTTTTGGACACTTGTTTTTCTGAAATTTTACTCTTTAGGAAACTCATATACCAAAACCCCAAAAGAAAACATTTTAGCTGAGCTTAAAATTTTTTTCTTGTTTACTCTTTTCTTGTTTTCTTGTCTCCTATTTTTTCCTACACCATTACCATCATGAACTTGGTAATTGGTATCTCTGTACCAAAAAGGTCTCAGTTAATACTTTCATATTTTTACTCTTGTTAAATTATTGCCTCAATTCTAAAGGACAGAAGAGAAGAGACCACCCAACTATTGCAGACTTTATTTTAATGGAATATTTTTGCAGATTTCAACATACTTTAACTTCCTTTTTTTTTAAAATTAGAGGAATACTTTTTTTTTCCCATAGTACATTCTCCATGATTTTGGATAAATTTATTTCATGAGGAGAAAATTAATAGAATAGTGATGCAAAATTGAAGTCTTTAGCTGTTATCTGCTTATCTAATGGAGGAAAAAAAATGTACTTGAAAGATACAGTCAAGATAGAGAAGAGAATGAGCTTTAGCCTTCCCTCTCAGCATTGGTTTTCTCTTTCTTTAGGGCCTTATTTTCTGTGTAGGTCAGTCAGGAACAGAAGCATGTTCCAAAGATTGGATTCTGGCAAGTTCTAGACTGAAAAAGATTGTTAGTATTTATAAGATTTTTTTTTCCTAGTGAGATTTCATTGTCAAGATCCTTAAACATGTTAAGAAGAAAACATTATCTCTTCATAAATCTGAATTTAAATAATATATAGCTACCTAAATCCTACTATAGCTATTTGTAACTTTACTTTTCAAGGAAGCTGCTTATAAAAATGAGGATTTAATAATTCCGTTTCTTGTTATGCTGGATGGTAGGCTGAAAAGATAAAGATCACTGAAAAATACTTAGGAAAAAGAATTATTTTTATTTTTTTAAGTGGCAGTGGTAGATTATACATCTTGTTAATTTTGTGGCATTGTTAAATAACTTAAATATTAAATTTTTTAAATGATTACAAAAAGAATACAGGTTTATTGTCAAAAACTCAGCCTTCAAAAATTCTCTGCCTGCTCATCTGCCACTTTTAAAAATAAGCCATATATACTTACACAATTCTGTACAAATGCTGACATATGTGCTTGCATATTTTATTATATTATGACTAAATTAGATACTTTACAAAAATAAAATTGAAGAAGCAGCATGGTACAGTTTACATATAAATGAAATTAGGGTTCTTTACTGTTTGTATACTTATATTTTAAGAAAATTACTGGGATGGACATATTTAGCTAGCTACATCCAGTGTATTTAAAGTGAGGAAGCCCATTTCAGAAAGTGTGTCATTGTTGAAAGTTCTTGTCCTTACTGGTTAGGATGATTAAAAATTTAATTTGTTTCTTGTTTGATAATTTACTTCCACTGTTATTGTTAAGTAAAATTCCAACAATTATTTCAGATCACATTATGCAGATGTACATTTTTTATGTTATTCAAACTAAATAGTTTTATCTCCTCATTCTTAAACTAAAATAATGCATAATAAAAGTAATGCTGGCTGCTATTTATTAAGACTTCAAAATATGCTAAATTAAAATTTTT